AAATTTGCTGAACTATTGTTGACAATTACGAACGTTTAAAACATTTCCATAAACCTCTTTGATATTCTTTGTGGCTACAGAGGGGTTGTTTCCCCTCTTGTATTCATGCCGAATGTGTGTCTTGTCGTGTGCCATCATTATAAAGGATTAGAATATATTAAACTTTACGCATTATATAGGCTACACTAACACGACATTTAGGTGGTTCGTTTAACTAATATACGTGATATATGTTTTTTTGGGTGGTGAGTAACGAAAGTGTTCCAAAACATGACATTAATTTCTTGACAACCTAATATTATAATAAAGCCTCTCAACATACATGATATTTGATCAAGTGAACAAAAAATGGCATTCAAACCACACACCATTTTATACTTTGCTAGTTCAGTAGAACCAAGTCATAAAGTGGAGTGGATTATTGCTTACTTCGTCAGGAATATCTGGCTCTATAGATATGTGTAGGTCAAACCTCAAGAGGTGATGAAATTAGTTTGCCTAAGAACTAACATAATCATAGAAATACTGTTAGCTTAAGGTCTTTGGTGAGAGACCATAAACAGTGCCTTGCTTAATGTAAAATTTTGAATCAGTGTGACATTAAGATACTTTTAAACTTTCAAGAATCTTCAAATACATTGGCTAGCACCAAAACCTTGAGACAAAATGCAATTTTCCATTCAGGATAGTTACATCAGTTTATTGTTTGGACAGAAAATACTCAAGTTCCTTGTAAATTTACCACTTTGTGATCTGTGAATAGATTTTTCATTAATGGAAACAATCTGTGTCAAAATTATATGGGGTACAGTTTTGACTTTTCATTTTCTTGAAATTAGCTGGGCATACTAAAACAAAAGTTTGTGGTTATTACATACAATTAAAAAACAGTAATTGTGAAATAATATACCAAGAGGATTCATTATAAGATGACTATAAGTCTTCTAACTTAAAAGTAAAACTTGTTACCAATGATGCTGTGATTGTGGCAAAATGTTTGAAACTTGTTAGGCATACAAATTAAAACAAGTTATTCCTTTTTAGCACTAGAGAGAACTCTAAAATTCACATATATAAAAAAAGTAAAAACTTGTGTAAACTTAGTTTGGATTGCTCTTTCGGAAAGAAACCAGGTATAGCATTCAGATCTTGAAAGTCGTGTTTGGGTTTTATATTATGATCTCTAAAGGTTTACTCTTCAAGTTCATTTGGTACATAACTCAAATTAGGCAAACTTAAAGCTTATAGTTGTAAGTGTAGTAGACTAAAACACACTTTCAGTTGTGAAATCTGTTTTGAATGTTGACAGTATTTGTTGCATCAACATAAACTATAAAAATTGTCTTTCTGAAGATGTATGTGGCACATACAGTATAAAAACTAAAAGAAAAAACAAGATTTCTGATTTTGTATATAACTAGTGTAGTCATAATTCTGACATTACCTTTTACATTCTGAAGAAAATATGGTGTAAAAAAATAATATATGAAAGAAAGATCTTGTGGTATAGCACTGTATTTCATAGTTTTTCTTTTAAAAAGATCTATGCAATTCCTCGGAATCCATGTTACAACTTTTTGACATGTGTTTCTTTGAATTTATTATGTTCTGTATTCTAGGATTTTTTTCACCTCTTTTGTTCCAGGATTCTCTAGGCTTGTTTTATATTTCATTTAATATATGCTGCTACATCTGATAAGTCAGTTGATCATTTTATTATTATGATCTTTTATACATGTACTTAAATTAAAGTTAAAATTAAATACTTAACATGTCTGCTAGGTTAATGAAACCGCAAGCTGTCTAGTTTTGTTGCTAGTCCTTTTATTAATTTTTTATTTTGCAACATAATTTTGGAATCACTTTCTATGCATATTTGATTTATTGTTGTAATATAGTCAGTCATTTCTGCTTTTTCAGTTGAATAAGGTACTTACCATGTAAGTAGTTAGAAGTACTTTAGAACTTTGCACCTTAATGTTTGTGTATGTTGTATGTTAAAGTTTTCAGTTAATTAATGTACTTACCATGTAAGTAGTTACAAGTACTTTAGAACTTTGTACCGTAATATTTGTGTATGTTGTATCATGTATATTAAAGTTTTTCAGTTGATTAAGGTACTTACCATGTAAGTAGTTAGAAGTACTTTAGAACTTTGTACCTTAATGTTTGTGTATGTTGTATCATGTATGTTAAAGTTTTCAGTTGATTAAGGCACTTACCATGTAAGTAGTTACAAGTACTTTAGAACTTTGTACCGTAATGTTTGTGTATGTTGTATCATGTATATTAAAGTTTTTCAGTTGATTAAGGTACTTACCATGTAAGTAGATAGAAGTACTTTAGAACTTTGTAACGTAATGTTTGTGTATGTTGTATCTTGTATGTTAAAGTTTTCAGTTGATTATGGTACTTACCATGTAAGTAGTTAGAAGTACTTTAGAACTTTGTAACATAATGTTTGTGTATGTTGTATCTTGTATATTAAAGTTTTTATTTTATTTTTATAGGGTCTTGTTCAGCAATCATTGTCCTCCCACAGTTCCAATAACCCTTCAGCAGGAACTGTCGTATAGCATACAGTAACAGAAGAGCCTGGAGGTGTTTTTAGTCATTAGGAACTGGAGATACACTCACTAATAACAATCTATTGAAAAAAAAAGTTTAGAATTGGGTATTTCTACTGGCCTGCCAACTAGTCCCATGGAATTATATATATTGGCTAGTATTCCTACCAGAAGTGCTCATTATCATCACATAATTCATGCAAGAACTTTGTGCAGAGCAGTCATATGGTCTACACTAGTAACATCTCATCTCATAGTCAATAGGACAATTTAATATAATTGAAGAAACTCTGTGGCATGGAACATCATCATTCATCTAGGACAGTCTGTGGTGTGTGGAGTTCATATCCTGTTATACAGAACTGTTTTTTTTTTCATTTTCTTACATGCTTGGTTCAGCATATGAAGGTGATTTTCCATGACATAGAACACTGTCATTCATCTTTAATAGTATTCTGCTTTTTCACCTCTTTAAGTTATTCAGATAATGTTAAAAATTTGTGGTGAACTGTCAGTTATGGTCTGAGTAAAATCAAGATTTGCGAACTCTTAGAACTTGATTACATCTATGCTAATTTAGATACCATCTAGTTATAGCTGGAATTAAACATTAAATCTTTTTTTTTTTGAAAAGCTACTTGCTATATTAAATTCAAATTCAGTAACTTATAAGTTGTGTATTTTTAAAGGTTATACAGAATTCAAAAAGATAGTCTTACAGCTAGACTGTAATTTTTTTCTTAACATAAAAAACTTGCTGTTACCTCTTTAGTTTTACATCATTTTCAGATTGGATATACTTATGAGCTTAAAAGTAGTAGAATGATAAATCAAAATTCTTTACAGTAATAAACAAATATGTGATTAAGTTACATCTGTTGTATTTTTAATAAGTGTTTTATGAGGTTGTAAAAGATTTATAAAAGTGATGTATTCTTGAAGTTTCAACAGTTTAAATGTAATGGCTTTAATTATGTTCTAAGACAGTTAGAAAAAAGTGTAATGAGATGAATTATGTATACTCTTTCCAAATGGAGATGTGTTGAATTGTATGAAAATATAGATGTTTACATAACTGGAATACAGTGCATGGTTTTTGCATGTGTATACTCAATCATAGCACTAATAGTAAGGCTATACATAGGTATACTTCCCCACACAGTTAACTTGCTACTTTAAATCTTTGTCAGTTTATATTCTACAGCCATATCATAAGAATATGACATATTGTTCTCTAACAAATTTGTCATTTAATTTTCAGGAATCATGTATATTTCTGTAGGACTTGTGTATAGATACATGTCAGAATTAGCTTACAATATCCACAAAGAGGCATTACTAAGAAATATCAAAGTATCATTAAACTGGATAATTCTTTGTTGTTTAAATGTCTTTATATAAGTATTTGAGATATTTTACTTGAAATCAAAAATCCGTGATTAAAATTTATGCAGCTTTGTAGAAAGGCTACAAGAAAATACATGATAAAACACCAAAAACTTATTTTGCTGAATAGTGGGCATATGCTCTTAGTGTATTATACACCATTGTGGAGATCTCATCATAACTATAAGCTATATTCAAGATGGGTGCCTGCAGTACAACAAGCATGCTTACTGGTGGAACTAAAATTGTATTTTATATATGTTTGCACCATCCTTTATGAAAGGCTGTTTTAATGAAACCTCATATATTGGCTTTCTGTATCATGAACTTATGATTCAGTGTAATAAAAATCTTATTTTAATGCCTTCCAATTTCACATATGTAAATTTAAGTACTGTCAAGCTATACAAACTATATATATATATAATTCATAACTGAAACATTTGGTTACTAAATAGATATGCTTCCATCTGTTAGTTTTAAAGTAAGCTAATCATATGCTTTCATCAGGAGGTAAAAAAATAGCAATACTGAATAACATTGCTGTGAGCTTGGAAATATTCATTTGAACGTAACTAGATTACTGTATGATGTGATGTCCAACTTTAAGAGAGTGCTCTCCAGTGTAAAAGTTTATTTATTTGTAATTGTTTTTGTTGTTTTTAAAATGATGTATTTAGAAATGTATATTTTCATGTTATTTCCCCAAAATTTATATTAATCAAGTTTATTAAATATATGAGAAAATGTGTATCACAAGTTTCTTGTATGAAAACTAAGTTTGCTGTTTCCACTGAAATCTATGGTTTATAGTTTTATAAATAAATTATTGCAAAGTTGTTGTTTGAAAGGTAATTTTTTAAGTTTAGAACTCCTTTAAAAACAAACCAAAAAAAAACCCACTGTGAGTCTAACTTAAGTTTATTCTGATGTCAAATTTGATGGATGAAGTTTGTGGAGTACGAGTTATCAATTAATTCCATTCTCTCAGATAATTCACATACTTATTTACATTTTCATACATCTAATAATTAGTATAAAGATTTTGCTAGGGCCCTGTCTACGCTCAGTTTAGTACACACTGTCAGGCCAATTATCATAAGAGTTATGTAGCTACACTGAAAAGCTTTTAAATAACAGGAAAACAAAATAAAAATACCAAAGTAAGATCTAGAAAAAAGACAAAATACAATAAAGACAAGTATACTAGCCAAGTTTTAAAAAATAAACCACAAGTGATAAGAGAAAATATTCGGAAAACTTGTCCACAAAATTTTGTTTTTTCACATTTAAATTTAAAATAACACATCAAATCATTTAACTGATTAGTGTTTATTTGAGAAAAACAAACCGAATGCTGACATGATCAAATAAGATCTAATTTGTAAAAAATCAGTGAAAGTATAATGAATAATTTTGATTTAGACCTAAAGATTTGGAATAAATATTCTGTTTTTCAGAATTATAAGGGACGTACCACTAATATCCAGTATGAGGTCTAATGAGTAGTGTAGGGTTTGATTCGATGGGGATCTGAAAGTGTACGTCGATTCTTGATGTATGCAAAGGAGTAAGCTAAGTGATTCACTTGATCTAGAAGTTTGAGTGAAATCTTGAGATATGGAGAACATAGATTTTAACCCAGTAATTTCCATGGGGTTTGGTTATCAGATGCTCCAAAAATTTAAATTATTTTTGACATGCATAGAGTATTTTTCTTCTAATTATATTATATGGTCCATCAATTATGTATGTCACCCAAAGAAATTTGTACTGGACTACAACAGATACAGAGCTAGGTTGTAGATTGAAGTAGGTGTAGACAGAGAACTAATACTTGTTTCTGAGTTACAGAAGGTGAATACACACATAGTATGAGATATAATCATAACAAGGTTTACAGGGAATATGGCAGAGGTATATTTCAGTCTATGTACACAAGGTAACTTGTGAACAAATGAAAAAGTAAAATTAGAAAGCAGTAGTTTATTAACGTATTACGTTTTTAAACTTTTTTTTTTATTTTTACTAGAAAGGCTGAGTATTCTAAGCATATGTAAGAGCTGGCTTTCAAATGCTACACAGATGTTTGTTTTTTGTCACCATAAATAACTGTTACATTTGAAGTTTGGTACTTCATTATATTTCAAGACATTTGCTATGTTTCTCTTATTACAGAATACATTTTGGTTTATTAGTAGTTTATGCTGTAATTTAGCTAATTTGGCAACTTTTCACTGCCCAAGAATACTTTGTCTTTATTGTAAAATACTGTCAGAATTTCTGAAATATTTTGCAAGTTTCTGTGTGAATTTAAAGTTAATATTTCTGCCATATAACTGCATTCTGTGAGAGTTATTTTATAACCTATGCCTAATGCTCAGTATTTGAAAATTCTATTGCACTGTCACTCGACATTATTTTGTAACCAAAGATATTTCAGATATAATATTATGTACATAATACAGGAATTACATATATTATCATGCATGTGTAATGGATATTTATTTAAAATTAATGAAGGCTTTAACTTGTATCATTGTTTTCACCTGTACTGAAAAACAGTAGGCAAATTTAGTTTAATAGTAAAAAAATATGCAAAAAAATTTATTTTTCAGTATACCATACTAGTACAGTTCACCACATTCAAAACTTATTCCAACTGTTCTGTCTCCCAGTTAAGTGATAAGAGATAGACAACTGTAAATAGATTATTTTAGGCTGAGAACTAGTTTGCAAGGTGCCTCGAAACTCCTTTGTTACACAGCAGCAATACTGATGTTGTTGTTGGAGTGGAAAGTCATAATATATTGCAGAAATGTTGAGAATGAGTCAAATAATTTAAATAGCTGTAAGTTTTTCTTTGACAATAAACATTTTACAAGAAACTGTGTTTTTAGTAATGATACATTCAAACACATTGTGTAAACAGTGATAATAAGTATAATTATTGTATGGTATTATATTGTTGACTTTGAATTACAAGGAATTATAGCATATAAAATAATTTCCGGTGTGTATCATAGGTCCAAGAACAAAAGAGTCCAATAAAGTTTCATTCAGGCACATATATACACGAAAGATCATAAAGTATAGTAAACCAGCTAACACAATTTCCATTGTCTAAAAATTCCTTTATAATAATGCCTTTTTCCTAGGTATTGCCTGCAAAAATGTTTCATCCTTTTAAGCCGAGACACTTATTTATGTGACACTGAGGATATAAAAAGCAGCAATCAATCCCCCTCAAAATAGTTATTATACAGACTAGTAGAATTAGAAAAATATTGTTAGAACTGACTATGATGATAACCTCACATCCTGGACAGGGTTTAGAAAACACACAGTTCTTTTAATCCTTAATTCAAATCTTCTGCTACTTGTAAATACAATGGAGTAAAGCATTAAGGGAGCTTCTATAGATATTTGAAAACTTTTATTTTTCTTAGTTCTAACTGAAGTAAAACAAAAAAATTCACATAGATGATCTAACTATCAGAAACAAAACCATACAGAAATAAGCACCAGATAGGGCTACTTCAATTATATAAATAACATTAAGACTGCATAAATATGTGCTAGATTAAAATTTAGTATATTAGTATTTCATTGACATACACACATAATAAACAATAAAAACTGTAGTACATTTGTTTGTAGTCGAATGTACCTTAACACCAATATGTATATTTTAGTACAACTGTGAAATGTATACTTTTGGTATTTTTTGGTTTGTAGTAGTAATTTTTGTTTGTCAATTTACATATTACTAATCCTTCAATTTCCAAGGTGTATTGTATGAACAAATGTATTAAACATTGCAGTTGCAGACAAGATATTTAAAGAAAAATAATGTAAACGTGTGTGTGTTGCCTTAAAAGTACTGTATACATGAAATTATCATGTTTTGGTGAGTTACGTACCACCAAGTTGAATTGTTCCAACCCGGATGAAATTTGAAGAATTGTTGCACAGAATGAACATTACTTATGTTAGTCTTATCCTTATTGTGAGTTCATCATTCAGGATAATCACACTAAAGTGAAAGAGCTACTACACCAGAGATAATGAATAAACATTACTGATGATTACTACAATTTCTAAGTGAAATGGAAGGTAATGAATATTATCCCTGCTGAAGATTTCCAATGAAAACTATAAAGAAAAGTGACCACAAATGTGTTATTTGCATAAAAATTGCTCTTTCTCTTTTACTTAATTCAAGAAAATATACACAAGTGAAACTTTTATAAATCATAGTGACAATTTGCAAGAAAAGGAATTAATCTTATTATATAATACAAGTCTTTACATGAAGTACCCTACCTACTCATTCATTTGAATAAAACTGTTTAAATTTTTCTAAACATAGACATATTTCTGCAAAGTTTAAACACTTATTTTAAATGATATAAGAATCAATTATCATATATATAACCAAAACTTGTTTTTAACTTAACGATCCCAGAATGATTCAGGTCAAACTTGCTGTGAATCTACCATCAAAACTGTTCTTCAGAAATTTTGTGTACATGTATCTATTTCTCAAATGATGAATGTCAGGTAGTGCTCTTCTAGATGGTAAGGGAAATGCATATCCAATTGCCCTACATATCTGCTCCCACACTGAAAACCTTTCATTAAGAAAAAATGACATAGAAGTGTGTAAGTGGTTATGCACCAAGAACCCATATATACATAGATCAACCTGTTAGCTTATAAAGTTATAATACATGTCATTGAAGGATATGGTTATAACAGTTTCATTCATTATAAATTTTTATTTAACTGTTGCCAAATTATTGAAATGTATGTTCACAAATGGTTTACAAGACACATGTATAAGCACCACGAGCACCTAAACTTACTCTGAGTGAGTAATTTATAAAGTCTAAATTTACCTGGAGACTTAGTAAAAGAAAATGACTTGCAATATTGTTGTTTCTGTGCTCTTAAATGATACCATACTTGTGTTGGTGTTTTTTTGTGTTGATGTTTACAGTAATGAAAGTCAATAAACTGATTATCTATTGGTGAATTATAAATATGTACCATATATTATTGTGGGAAATATTAACTCAGATGCAAGAGAAAATTTTCACACATGTAGGAAGTTAAGGCGTCTGTTACCTTAATTATTTGTTTAAATTTTTTCAGTTAATAACATTTCTTTTAAATTTAATTTAACACATATATATTCTACACAGCAAGCCACATCCTTTTTTCTCATTATTATAATTAAAATTGTAAACAGTAAAAATTATTTGTTAGAACATCCAGGTTATTAACCATAACTACTAATTAGACTTCAAATTGGCCCTCTGGCTAAATATAAACACTGTTAGTACAACTGAAAGTGTTTCTGTGGTCTCACTATTATCAAAATAAAGCTGGATTTACTAAAAGATGTGATCAACTCGAAATATCACAACTGAAATTTTGGATCACTGGTCACTTCTGATTAACAAGTGCTTTATTACAGGAAACTAAATATTCACCTCAAACATAATATCAGTGATACTATAAAATGTTTTAAGTGTTTTGGTCTGTTTTATAAAACTAAGCATACCTTTACAATTCTAAATACTGGTTAATTTTGTAGTAAAACTCTTAGCTATGAAAATAAAAACCTAGAAACTATTTATCCAGCTTGTCCTTTAGCATATGCAATTTATTTTATGTTTACACATGTTGAAACCTTGCACAATCAGGTGTGATGATTTCCAACTGGTGGAGGTGCCTGTAGTGGGATAACTGGCAGTTCATTACACTGTGATTGGCTGGTTTTAGATCCAACTGATGGAGGTGCCTGTAGTGGGATAACTGGCAGTTCACTAAACTGTGATTGGCTGGCTTTAGATCCAACTGGTGGAGGTGCCTGTAGTGGAATAACTGGCAGTTCACTACACTGTGATTGGCTGGTTTTGGAATGTTGGCGTTTCGTCATTCTTGTGCATAGAGGAGCATTGTTCTTTTTTTCATCAGAAGAGTCAGCTGTTTCAAATCCTGAGTCATAGAAACTTAACTCTTCTGTTTGCTTTGCAAGTTCAGAGCTAGTCTTAACAATGGATTGAGAGCTGATGATATTTTGGTCTTCAGTCACTTGTTTGTCATTGCTGTGTTCTAATCTCACATCTGGTCTAGAGCAACAAAGTTGGTCTGTCACAGATGATGGAGTTGGATAAACTTCTAAGGTAGAGGAGATTGGACAGCAGAGGCAATGAGTGTGAACTGGAAGATATTCCTCTCGAGATACTAGCCCAGGAGTTAAAAGGGGTGCTTCAGCAAGCACACAAGCCATAGTGGCTGTTGACAAATTGTCTAACTCTGGAGTCGAGGAGCTTGATGGTGAGCAAGAAGATGTACTTTTGGAGCCTGGATACTTGAGATTCAGCTCATCCAAGATAAACTCACACAGTATGTCAAAAAAATTGGCCACTCCATCATATCCTATTCAATTTAAAGTAAAAGCAAACATTGCCTTTGTCAAATTATCATATTTAAATTTTACATAGGAATTCACAAAAGTAATGATTAAGCCTGCTCATGACCAATTTTCATAAAAAAACTAACATTAAATACATCCTCTTCATTTACAAATATATATATATATCAAATATTCATGTTAGATGCCTAGAATTTTTCACCACCTGTTTAAATTCTAACTTTATCAATCAATATCAATTTGGGACAACATAGGACCTATTGGTCTTTTTTTGCACTCATGAGTTGTACTCGCTAATCCTCATCATAAGCCTTGTCTAAATTCACATGTTGATGTAGAAAAAATAAGTTTTGTAGATTTTATATATGTATACCAAAAAATCAGAAATGACGGTACTGATACCACAAAAACTACTGTAATTTACCAGGTTTCCTAACTATGCTGTAATTGGGTCGAAAAAAATCTAATTTCTGGTCGAAAAATAGCATTGATCATAATACTTCAAACTCTCCAACAATATAAGAGTTTTTCTCTTGTAAATAACTTAGAAAGACTAACATAATTAAGTAGAAGAAATGTACAGCTTACAATTGGTTATAAACCTATAGGTATAAAAAAAAAGAAGGCTTAAATAAACAAGTCTTCTCAAATGATGAAGTGGTGGGGGAAGCCAATATGGTGGATTAAATAAATATTAATATATCTCAGCAAACAGAAAAGGTAGGAGGTTCTTATTTTATATAATAGCTTGCCAATAGTAGAAATTTGAGTTTATAATTTGTATGAAACTACAGACATTGTATTGTTGGCATCATAAAATGTAATCTGACCAAACCCACAAGATGACATACCACATGACACACACAAAAATAGATATTTAGCAATTTTTTTTTTATATTTACTTTGAAATTAAGAAATTAACTAATGCATTGTACTAAAATATGAATTAAAATCTACAATTTGATACCAAGTTTATTGACATATATTCATAAAATAGTAGTTCAATAAGATTTTGAATGCAAGTCTTCAAACATGATGACATGCCCTCTGATCCCTAGCTTTCTGTAACGATAGGGTTAAAACAGAGCAAAGTTTGTTCACAGTTAATGTTTCTTATGTTGTTTACTTTTTATTGCAGAATCAACCAGTTTTTTAGCACAAAAGAATATTAAAACTGAGAAAACAACATATGGAATGTATTTTTTTTAAACTTATGGTGGGGACCTAAAACTTTTACCAGTTGTGTTGAATATAATCTAAAATAATCTACATTACAAATCTTACAATGCATCAATCATAAGCGACTGAAAATAAACTACCCATTTCTATGAGCACTCAAAACTTAATCTGTATTGGTGCTCTTACATCTATCCTCTCTTTTTTATAGTTTTTAATCATTTAGCCATTTGATGCATTAAATTATAAGATCTGAACCATAACTTATGAAATATACACACACACACACATCATGACTGAAAACGAGTTTTGTTTTTGCTATGCTACTTTGATTAAAGAATAAAACTATGTCCCATAAGAAGTTTTAAGTTGGTGGTTGACTAAAAAAATCTGTCTGACAAAAACAAAATGTGTTTTGCAATTCTTTGTGCAAAATAGCACATCCACATTTACATTTCTAATAGGAACTGAGGAGCGATTTCATATATACGAATTACACAATTTTAATAGCTACAATGATAAAACTTTTCTGACCAATGGGTTAGCTTATACTGAGACTAAGCACAAACAATTTATCTCTAGAATGGCTGTCTGTGAAGTTATATATATTTTGTGTGACTTCTTTTAACAGTAAGCTAACAATACCAACAGAGATTTCAATAAAAAAATCAGCAACAAACCGTGTTTCTTTAAATAAACATAAACATGAGTACAAATAACCAAATTTCACACGTCTGAGGCAGCAAGAAATGTAAATATACAGCAAGTTTTACCTGGGAAGTTGTTGATATCAATGACAGCATATCGACCTGTATTTTTCTCACAAATGATGTCAATTCCAAAAAGAGCCAGTCCTAGCTCAGCCTGGATAGATTTAACAACATGCTCAAGTTGTTTAGAATCAAGATTTCTTGGAGAATCTGGGTCTGGGTCTTCTAACTAGTGGAAGAGATTGAATAAATCCAATTTTCTTTTTTAAAAAAATGTATTAAGATTGTGTTGTGATGTTCAACTTTTTAATCTACATAATTGGCTTCTTATAAGTGAAAGGGGTTTTGAGCCATTATATCAAAAATACATAATTAAAATAACTACAAGAACTGTTTGTTTTTTTTATCAATAAAAGTAAATGAAATTAGCATAATACACATTTTCAAAATTATAACATAAAGGAGAGAAAAGCAACTTTCTGTAACAGTGTACAATTTACTTTATAAAAATTCAACTTACTAGAAAAGATATAAAGCAATATCAGTACTTGTTTCCCTACACAGTTTGTTTCTGGGAGGTAGAAGTTGCTTTTGAATAGAATTAAGATTTAAAATTAAACAGATCAGTGTATGTTCTCAAACTAAATAAGTTTACATAACCAAAGCACATCATCTATGTAATATCATAGGAATGGTAATTTTTATTGAACTTGTAGGCACAGAATGATTTTAGATAATCAAATAATATCCCTGGATCACTAACTGTGGTCAATTTCCCCTGAAAACAACTTGGGTCATTTCATAATGTGTTGATTAAAGAATGGCAAATAAAAGCATATTAACATATCATTCTATGAAGAAGAAAATGGTGTTGCACTACAGGATCATAAAACACGTACAAGAAATTCAGCATGATAACTC